AATCTATGACATATAATATATGATAGATGCACATTCCTATTCATATTTTTGATTCCAGGAGTGGCGTCTGGCGGGGGTGTCGGAGACAGCTGATTGTTTTCCAAGCAAGAGGGTGTTGGACACTGCCAGCTCAGTCTGAAATTCAAAATGCGTGTCGCGAAACGTCGTGCACACGCAGGTCAGGCCACAATAGTCAAACTGAATTGCACCCCCCATAGGTTAAAGGGTGGGAAGGACTACAGAGCAGAAACACACCCTCACGACGCTCAACCCTCAGAGGAATCAACCACCAGCAAGCAGTTATATGATTCCAGGAGGGGCGTCTGGCGGGGGTGTCGGAGACAGCTGATTGTTTTCCAAGCAAGAGGGTGTTGGACACTGCCAACTCAGTCTGAATTTCAAAATGCGTGTCGCGAAACGTCGTGCACACGCAGGTCAGGCCACAATATTCGAACTGAATTGCACTCCCATAGCAAGACCCACAACAGGGATGTGCACGGGTGCCTCGACGCCCAGCTTGACGCGGCAGCCTTGAAGGGGCGGGCAACCCTCACGGCCTCCAGCGGGAGGAGCTCACGGTCGTCCGCCGCGTGCGCAGCCCAGGAACCCAGCACCTCGCCCAGCCACTCGGGGTGGTCGAAGATGACGGTGTCGTCGAAGGCCTGGGTTTTTGACGGCTGCAGCCGTTCCTCAGGCGCCACAATCAGAGACCAACACCGCAACGCAGTTTCCTCCGACACCCCTGGCTTCACCAGATCGCCCACCTTCGCACGAAGAAGCTCCCCAGGACGGAAGGACCCCGAAAACGCGGCCTCGACGTAGAGGGCCGTGGACCGCTCACCGTCGTAGATCAGAAGGGCGCAGATGCCCGACTTCACCTCGATCGGCAGCGGCATCCTGCTGGTAGGCGGGAGTCGCTTTCGGCATCCCTTGAGAGCCCGTTAGAGCCGAGGATAGTCCCGTACCTTTCCAGGAAGCGTGCTGTACAGCAGGCCGCACACCGTCTTCTCGGCGTGCGTGAGCTTCACGTTGTCGGCTAGGAGCTCGTCGAGGTAGCCCAGCAGGTTCACTTCGATTTCGTCGTGGCTGTCGGTGGCCCTGCCTCGGCGCCGCTGCCACTCGAGGAACAGGTTCTCGAAGTACTGGTAGGCGGCCAAGCCCTTGGCGCCGACCGTCGCGAGCTCGCAGGCGCTGAGCTCCCCGTCCTGCGCCCGCCGCCCAAGACTCGGGGGCAGCGGCCGCGCGGCAGGAGGGGGGGCCGCGGCGGGCCTCCGCCTGGTGGCGCCCTGCCGTCGGACGGGGACGCTGGTGGGGCGGCCCGCGCGCTTCCCCCCCTGACGGGTTCCAGCGGTTTCGAAGGAGGTCGATGGCTCGGCGGCTTGACAGGCCGCCAAGCTCAGCTCCCGCCGCAGGCGCTTCATACAGCGCCGCCCGCGCCTCCCTGAGCTTCTCGAAGAGGCGGGGCGGCTCGTCGGCGGGGTTGGATTCGCTCGGGATCCAGCGGAGCGCCACCCATGCACCCGTCGCAAACGAGAGGGCGGCCAGGCGGCGGACCAACTGCAGGAGCCCGAAGAACGCCGCGCGCCCTCTTGAGAAACAAAGGGCTACGCCGAAGTTGTCGACAAGGACGAGGCGCCTCTTGCGGCGCTGGCTGGGGCCCCGAAGTTCGAGACTCATACCCTTGATGACGGCCCGACCTTCTTTGTTTCCGATCGGCTCCTCAAACCTGCACCTCCCAGCCCTCCAGCACTTCCAGGAACGCCCAAGGACCACGGCCTTCGGAACCTCGGGGAAGCCAGCACGGGGCCGCCAGGCGAACTCCGAGGGGACCCCGCCGAGCTCGTCGAGGTCACAGGGGCCCACGTCGGACGTCACAGGGTCGACGAGGGGGTCGAGCTCGGCCGCCAGTGCACGACGACGAGGCGCCCACTCCGACGGGGGCAGAGGCTCGTACCTCCAGCGCTCGTTCCACCTCCCGGTCTCCCCCACCTCCTCTCTGTCGAAGCCAGCCCCCATCACGCCCCACCCACTCCCCGAGGCATCTGTCGCCAGCACGGAAGTAGACCGTGGACGCCCAAAGCTACCGGAGAGCAGGGGGACCAGGCTGGAGCGGACCAGGAGCTCACGGCAGACGGAGTCCCACAGGGGCCTCGGGGTCCAGCAGCAGTCCCGAATGAAGACGTAGGAGGCCCGCAGAACCGACAGCGCAGGCCGCTGGTTGAGGCCCTCGACGACGTAGTGGCCCAGGAGGCGCTCCAGAACCTTGCCAGAGATGGCCCCACCTAGAGCGGCATGCCGATGAGCCCCCCGAAGAGTCCAGGCCCGCTTGGGCCTCGCACGGACCGTCCGTCGCAGCCCATCGAAGGCGGTACCCAGGATATCCGAAGATGTCGAGGCCCAGGAGATCTCGTGAAGCACGAAGCCCTTCCCCTCGAACACCCCGATGAGCTCACGAAGTCGCTGATCGACGCGGTCCCTGGACATCCCGAAGACAGTTAGGTTGTCGCAGTAGGGGAGGGCAACTGGATCGTCGGACAACGGAGGGGCAGGCCACGCATTCGACATGATCAAGTCCTGGCTGAACCCAGCCTCACGGAGCAACTCGGCATGCAGAGCCTGCACAATGTAGAAAGACCAGGTCCAACCCATCGGCAGCACGAGCAAACACGGGAAGACCTCCCCGACATCTGGCAGAGAGAGCCCCCGCACGTCCGAGGTCGCCCCCCACTTTTTTGCGAGGCTAGCGTCGACGGCTTCGAAGCTGAAGTACTCGCTCAGCGCAGACGGCACCCCACACTGGTAATTAAGAAAAAAACTTATATCACCCGTGGCGACGAAGACAGGCGACGCTTCGCCTGGCACCTCAAGCCCATGCATATTCTCGGCCGAACTCATCTCAGGCTTGGGGGGGGTGACGGAACAGCTGGTTGACCCTGCGGCAGTCCAGGACGAGCCTCTGGCGGCCCTGTTTCTTTTTCACGAAGAACGGTGTGATCATGCCCTTCGAGGCCCTGCAGAACCCCAAGATCCCACAATCATACAGGCTCCTGAGGAACTTGAGACGAACATCTTCATCACCCCTGATCCTGACATCCGTATAGGACACGACGGGCTCGTGGCGAAGACGGTACTCGGCCACGTCAGCATCGGCCAAGACGTTGTCAAGGTCGAGGCAGCGGCCGAGCTCGGGAGAGACAAACTCAGTCAAAACGACGGGCGACACCTGCCCCTCTGGCAAGGACACATTTGCCGGGTCGCACGGCTCGACCGCGCATGCAAGCATCTCGTAATCCGCATTCGCACCAGCCAACTCACGAAAAGAGGCGTGGTCCGTTTGTACATGATCGGGCATACCCGAAGCGATGGTGGCGAACAGATGCTGGTGAATTGCACCATGCAAAGGACTGCAGCCGCCCACGGCCTCAGTCCCCTCACACTGCGTCGGGACCGACAGCTCCTGCGGGTCGCACCCGAAGAGCAGGTTCAGGCCGTCGACCGCCTCCTGCGCCGCCGACTGGACGGCGTTCCAGCGCTTGAGGTGTAGCCGAGCCTTCCTCCCCGTACCGGTACCAGGACGCTGAGCCCGAGGAACGTCAGGAAGGGGAAAGAGACCACGGCCGCACCTATCCCCTGCTGCTTCTTGCCGTCGGCGAGGCCAGGCCTCAGGACGACGCACACCAAAATTGCGGTCGGAGGAGACCCCCATCAGACCTCAAGCCAGCCATCGTGTCAGAGACGGGGACGGCGACTTGCGGCACCGCCCCCGCTCACTTCTTAATTTCTTGGCGGGGGCCGAGGGGCCTGCCTTGGCCTTCGCCACCGCGACGCCTGCAGCCCTGGCCTCCCGTGCCTCCCGCTTCTCTTTCAGAATCGCTGCCTCTTTGCTGAGCTCGGTCGCGACATGAGCCCGAAGAGAAGGCACCAACTGGGCCCCTCCCAAGCGCTCGCTGATCCCCAGGTAGTGGTCCGACCCCATCGTAGCTCGGCGCCTCGGGGTTCTCAGCCACGGCCTCCTCATGCAAGGTGATCCGCCTCAGGAGGAGCTCGACGCCGATGAGGTTCTTCACGTTGAGCCCGTCCACCGTCGCCAGGAGCTGCACGGCCCTGTGGAGGATCGCGTGCTCGTGGGCGGTCGAGCTGCGAGTCTTGACCCCGCTCTCGCGCCGCCACTTGCTGGCCCGATCGATCAGACTGGTCGCACCATCCCTTACCACCGAGTCGACCCACTCGGCCCCGATGGCGGGCCCCTGCAGAGGAAAGGCAGCAAGGCCCTCTGCCTGCCGCGTGCAGGCCGTCATCGAGCGCACGGCGTCGACCAAGGACCGCTCCGTCGGGGCCCGCGCCAGGATCCTCGGGTCGTCGCAGAGGAAGTTGCTGCGCGCCAGGGCCCAGTGAGTGATGTCGGCGCCCTCCACAAGCTGCTCGAACGTGGCGACGCCCCCATCGATCACCACGAGGGCACGGGTCCCCAGCACCGCCGCCCCTGCAGGCAGCGTGAACTCCTCGCCGACGTCGTGGCCCACGAGCGGCTCCGCGAGGACCCACGCCCCACCCGCTGGGACGGGGCGCGGGGCCCCAGGAGCAGGGGCCACGGCGGGCACGGGCGTCGTCACCACGGCGGCCCCCACAGGCGCTCGAGCCGCCTCGCCCAACAGCGGGAGCCCACGGTGGGCCCGCTCCAGGTTGCACACCTGATCCGCCTCCGCCAGCAGCTCGTTGACCTCGGCGGGCGTGAGCGCCGCGAAGATGTAGAGCATGCTGCCAGGGACGGGGATCCCTCGCGGCCGCACATCGACCGACGCCGAGAAGCGGATCCCCTCCAGGTCGCCGTTGTGGAGGCTCAGCTGCCCCACGTAAACGTCAAAGTCGGGCGACACGACCGCGTACTCGTCGTTCTCGACGAGGGAGCCGACGAGCCTCGCGTGGTGCTCGCCAGCGCCGTAGTGCACCCACGCGGCCGACCCGCGGCCCAGCACGGTAGAGGCAGCTGCCCCCGCCAT